GTTTTCCTGTTAATATCTCCATAACGTAGCTTCGGACAACATTTTCGTTAAGGAGAAAGTTGTTTCAAATCACCTCCCGAACCACACCCTTCAAGGATCTCCAACATTTTTGGGACACCCTGTATTAAAAAAATATGAGCTAGCGAAGAAGATACAGTAATGTCTCGTTAAATGCACAAGCTCAGAACTGACCTTGTGCGACTAACGTGGACATCGTATATTCTTTGATGTTTGCCGACGTCCGTAGAACCCAAACAAGGACAGCGAGTAAAGGAAGAGGACGAAGCGAAATCACCGAGGTATGTCAATGAAACAATGTAACGCAACAAAGAAACCTTTTTTATTATTAACTTTTTTGTTGTCAAACTTTTACCATCATATTCCTGACATTTTTCTGATTATAATGAGACCAAACACGACGTAATTCGCAACATATTTACTTGTAACAACTTATTAGGTATCATTTATCGTAGAGTACTAACTAAAAAAAGATAAATGGTAAATATCGTCCGAATTATATCGTGTTTGGTCTCATTTTAATCAGAAAAATGTCAGGAATATGACGGTAAACGTTTTGCAACAAAAAAGTGAATAACAAGAAAGTTTCGTCGTTGCATTACATTGTTTCACCGATATACCTCGGTGTTTTCGATTCCTCCTACTCTTTACTCGTTGTCCTTGTCTACGTTCGACGCTCGGCGGCAAACATCAAAGAATATATAAACTCGGGTGGCAAACGTTAGAGGATATACGAAATTCGGCGGTCGAACTCCTCGACTACTCGAGAGATATACTGTGCACTTATCGTGGACTAATTTGTGCGCCTAATGTGACATTACTCTACATAGATAGAAAATGTATTATTGAAAATAATAATGAATATTCTTATAGAGAAGCTAGGTATACAAGCTGTCCCAAAATGTTATAACACCTTGAAAGTGGTGGTTCGGGAGCTAATTTGAAACAATTTTTCCCTTAGCGAAAATGTTATGCGAGGCTTTGTTAAGGAGATATTAACATAAAATTTTTCAATTACGTGTCTAAACATTCTGGAATGGAAATAAGAGAACCGTCTGAAGTAGCTCTTTTGTATGCGACTCTCGAGACGTAGGTAAGGCGTTTATAGTAGTGGAGTATTACAAATTCGAATGATAATTCCTGGTAGTATGTAGATTCAATGTATAACAATGGTTTAGTCTGGTGCCAGCTGTTTAATTATTTTCATCGAACAATTATTCAAAGACGACATCGCGCCTGTGAGAACTTTAAATTCGTTCATTATCATATAAACTTTACATGTCGGCCATATTGGATCCGCCATTTTAAATTTTGTAATTCTGATATCAGATTCGAAGTTTACGTCTCAAATATATCATAAATACCAAGTTTCATGAAAATCTAATAACTTTTCAATATACATGTCGGCTATATTGGATCCGCCATTTTGAATTTTGCAATTCTGATATCAGATTCGAAGTTTACGTCTCAAATATATCATAAATACCAAGTTTCATGAAAATCTAATAGCTTTTCAATATACATGTCGGCCATATTGGATCCGCCATTTTGAATTTTGTAATTCTGATATCAGATTCAAAGTTGCGGCTCAAACAAATCATAAATACCAAGTTTCATGAATATCTAATAATATTTCAATATACAAATCAAGGTGTTACAACATTTTTGGGACACCCTGTATTACATATATATATAATATATAAAATTAATTTTTATTGTATTTATATGAATTTTTAAAAAATGAAATAACAATGTTGGAGCCATCACACGACCATACTGACTTTCTAAAGGGCGCAGCAAGATTTCTAGGTAGGACTAGACATGAAATAAAAAACCCAATATTTTAATTCTCTAAATAAAAATTGTTTTGAACATTATTCGGTATATGTATTACGTTATCCCAGGAGTTTCTTCCGTTAAATAAATAGTTATAATATTAATATAATACTATAAAGCAAAATGCATCGTGTACAACTCGGTAACATAACATAACACATAAAATATGAAAGAAAGCTTTTGGACAACCTAATACAATACACGCCAGCAAACAGATCTTCTATTAAGTCAATTGTTTTCAAAAAAACAAATTGTTGAATACAGCTATGACTTTCTTTCTTAATTTAAATCATTCATTGAGAACGAACGAAATGAGAAAAATCAAATGAAACTTCTGGTTCAGCTTAGATATAATTAAAGTACAATTTCTAAAATTCTACTTGCCAGGAAAAGAAATGGTAACTTGTCGAGATGTGCTGTGGTACCTTGTTTTCTGCGGCTTCGCCATCAACTATATGTTGCGAATCAACTTGAATCTGACAATAGTGGCGATGGTGATGCCCCGTGCGAAGGGAGCTGCTGCTACTGCCCAGTGCAATCCTGAAATTGCCAATACAACATTAGAAGGAAGTGGCAATCTTACAGTGGTATCTACTGCTGTACCAATTTCAGAGAATGTCACGGTAGGTGCATCCTTACCTTGCATAAATTATTAATTGCTGGATTGTTGATATATCTATGTGTTTGGATCTGTATACTGTTGAAAATGTTGTGTTGAATTCAACATAAATTAGATTATTTACATTATATTACATTACAATTACATTATTTACATTATATTACATTACAATTACATTATTTACATTATATTACATTACAATTATATTAAATACATTAAATACATTTACATTAAATTCAACACAATATCTCAAACCGTCTACTACTATTTTTGTGTCAATTTAATATAGCTACATATTTAATAGATTAACACAAAAAGTTGATAACTTGTGTAACTTTTTTGTACGTGTTTTATTAGTATGTTTAATTAAACTCCCTATGTATATGTATTATAGTTCTAGGTACTTTTTTCTTTGAATGTTTACGCTCCTTCTTTTTACCTTACTTCCTTTTTTTATATCTCAGATATGTATATATTAACATGTATTAATATGTATGTATTCTTTAAACATTTTATTTAACTTGTTTTATTGGACTCCTCAATTTGTAATCCAGCTCAATGTATTGTACATCTCATCATGTTTAACAAATTTCTATTGTTAAACTTAATTAAAAACATGTATTAAATATACATTTTTGTTGTGTTATATTAACACGTATTCGTTAAATAATAACACAAATAGTAACTTTAACATAATCGTTATGTTAATTACCTGCAGTAATTTATTACAGTATCATTACAGAACTTCTAGGGGTATATAATTTAAAAATAAGTAATAGAAATTTAAAAAAATCAAAAACAAAATTAATTAATTTTGATTGAGCTTCTTCAGCCAAGTACATCATTGACAGTGTTGATCTTAGAGCTCATAAGTGTCATTGAATCTAAATAACAATTTTTCTGTATAACATACTCAAATTAAATGTTGCTAGTAACACGTTACATCTTTTTCTATGTTAAACTAACACAAACAATGTGTAATAATAAACTCACGACTCGCTAAACGTAGAATCTAAGAATTTAGTCCACTATTATTTTGTGTTAATTTTTAGATAACATTAAAAATGTATTATATTTACAACTCTTCGATATTTTCATACAAAGTGTTGGTTGAGATCAGATACATTCAACTTTAGTTATATGCAAGAACACAAAATTTTCAACTGCGTACTTGTTCCCCTTGGGATTACATTTTAACACTCCAGCTTTCTCTTCTTGCACTTTTTTTTCTTACGCTAAGGAAATCCTTACTCTTAAATCTACCTTACCACTGCTTTCTCTTTAAAATTCTAATTTTCCTTATCCTACATCCATTCGTACTCTTTCCATAATTTCCACCTCATTTCTCCCATCTTCCTTCTTTTTCTATCCTCATCCACATTCATTCAACCATCCATCCGCCTGTCATCCCATACTTATGCCTCGTTATCCACTGTCCCCACCCATCCTTCCTCTATCTAAAAGATATTATTTAGTTACGGTTAAAAAAATTCATGCTTAAAAATGTCACCGTCAATACTTAGAAAATTATTCAAGGAAAACCAATCGGGTGTCTGTCTTTGATCACTTTCCTTTATTCCATAATTTTGTTTCAGTACGAAGACAGATTTGCTTGGACTGAGTTCGAGCAAGGTCTAGCGTTGGGATCTTATTTCTGGATACACTGGTTGTCGCAGCTTCCTGGAGGACTGTTGGCCAGACGTTATGGGACCAAGCTTGTGTTTGGTCTGGGGAACCTCCTGACAGCTGTTATAGGCTTCCTCATTCCAATTCTGACCCGCCAACACCTTTATGCTCTCATTGCCTTGCGAGTTCTTCAAGGTCTGGCAGCAGTGAGTCAACAACATTCAAAACGTATCAAATCCTCCCACACTCTTAATTGTATGATAACAATGTTGTTTATTTAGTAATGATTAGACTGCTAATGTTTACACATTTATGATAATATATCAAATATGAAAAATACTTTACTGCAATACTTTAATGTACATCTCTTGTTCTTCATCTGCGTATACAAAAATATGAATTTGCATGAACATTCGCAGTCTAGAATAATTATTGTAAACGATTTAATGGTAAATCAAATTCATCCTTAAACGTGAACATGATTACAAATTATTTGAAAATTCTTTCGACAAAGAGAATTCATAAAGATATTGTTCACTTAGGGTGTTGTATGGCCTTCGATGCATGACATGACAGCTAAATGGATTCCTGCAGTTGAGAGGAGCAAATTTGTCAGTTCCTATTTAGGTAAGGTTTATCAATAATATAGCTATAAATAAAGAAGGTTTAAGTGAAAAAGTGTGACGAGACTTAATCCAATGATAAGATATACACCGGTGATAGGGAGTTACTTAACAATTCATATTACGCTATGAACATAATTACATTAATTTTCAGGTAGCTCTGTAGGTGCAGCTATAACTTATCCACTTTGTGCAGCTGTCAGTAGCTCGTATGGTTGGAGTGCAGCTTTTTATGTAACGTCTTCGCTTGGAGTAATCTGGTAATAATTTGCTTATAGATAAGAACATTCTGTAGACTTATCTGAAAATATTTGCCATGGCAATCGTGAAATCTCTCACCGAAATCCCTTTCAATAAAAAAATATACATTAAGTAGAGAGCTGTCATAAGATAAAAGTATTTTTAACTTATATTTGCAGGATTATTTCAACTGAAATTTACTTATAAGATTATTTTTAGCTTTAAGATTTCGTGTGTAAGAAAACAATTTTTAACGAAATTTATTTTAGACTTATTTGCTGAAAGAAATCAATTGGCTGAACTAACAGTAGCTTATATGTATAAGCTACCTTATAAGCTATAAGGTTATATATGTAACCTCCAAAAGTTCCACCACATAATGTCCTCCTTGGTATTGAACAACTTTCATCTGATTTCCACCCTGTATATATGCTACTGTTAGTTAAGCCTGTTAGTTATTGTTTTACATAAGCAATTGAGAGTTTATTTTCATGGAAATATGTTGATAGTTTTCATTGATCATAATTCTTTTCCTGTAAAGTAGTAACGATACAACCTGAATAAATTCTGTAAAAGCTATTAAATTTGTAGCGCGCTTAAGCTTGAACTAATACATATGTAATAAATTAATAATAAATGAATAAATGAACTTAACAGAAATGCTAACGTAGAGTTTCCTTCGAAGGTACTGTGCCTGGTTATTCCTGGCATACGATTCACCCCAGGAACATCCTCGAATATCTGAAGAGGAAAAGAAATATATAATAGATAATATCAGAGAAACAGTCGATGAAGAAAAATCTGAAATACCCTGGAAGTCCATATTGCTGTCTGTCCCAGTTTGGATGACTATTGCCGGACAGTGGGGCAGTGGCTGGGGTTTCCTTACTTTGATGACCCAAACTCCGAGTTACTTCAATTTCATTCATGGCTGGAACATCAACGCGGTAAAGATATACAATTATATGTATATAATTAGTAAATACAATTTTTAATTCACTGTGAGCTAAAGCTATTTCTGGGATAACACCAAAGTTGCTTTATCGTATTGAATTCTTGTTCGTAGACTGGCCTTGTTTCCGGAGCTCCTCATCTACTGAGAATGATTTTCTCATACTACTTCTCAGTTTTTTGCGATTGGCTCATACGTACCAAGAGAATGAGTTTGACAAACGTCAGGAAGCTAGCTACGTTTGCATGCACAGGTGTGCAAGGGATGTTCATCCTGTTTTTAGCTTACAGTGGCTGCCAGCCAATTTTCGCTGTGATCTTTATGATAGCAGGAACTACCATGAACGGCGCCATTTCTGCTTCCACCTTACCAAACTTTGTCGACCTCAGCCCTAACTATGCTAGCGTACTTCTTGGCTTTTGTGGGATGATAATAATCTGGTCCGGTTTCATTTCACCTGCTATCGTTGGAAGTCTAACGAATAAAAACGTAAATAACAATCATATATTCTTAATTAGCTAGAAGGAAATTGCATTGTTTAATATAGGTAGTATTCTCATAGATAGAAAATTAGGTTCCAGCTATTTTATTTAAAAAGTCAAATAAAAATTATATATATAATAATCCTCAATTAATCTATTAAGTCAATTGTTTCTGATAAGGAAATTGTTGAATGTAAATATGATTTTTACTCATTGAAGATATTTTTGTTAGATACAATTTATATACAATAATATAATTCAATGCTTCTATTGGAAAAAAAAGAATGAAAATTCTCTCTTTTTTTTTAGCAAACTGTGGAACAATGGCAAAAAGTTTTTATCATAGCCGCTGCTAATTCTATAGCGAGCGCTGTTGTGTATTTACTATTTGGAACTTCGGAGCTACAACCATGGAACAGTTATGGAAAACCAAGTCCACAAAAGGAGCAAGAAATGGAGAAGTTAACAGATCTGCCAGTAATAAAATGTGAACACGTAGACGAGAAAACGAACGGGACCGAGAAAGATGGAATTTTAGAAAAGAAATAGAAGAAATAAGAATGTCCCGTTGGTAAAAATAGGATAAAGTACAACAAATATATTTTTTAAAGATTTTTAGATAGGCTTCTTATTGCGTGATTACAATTTACAACTCACAGAACACAGACTCTTTATCAAGAAAAAAAATGCGCACTAAAATGGAACAGAAGCGTGTTTAATGAAAACGAATATTTTAAGAGCTTCATCAAAGACTGAATTGTACACCATGTATCGTTTAAAATACTAAACTGTATTATAGACTGTAAATAAGCCTCAGTCATTCAAATAGTGTCACATGGAGTGTCGAGCATTAAAACCATTCAAATATAGAATAACAAATATGTAAATAAGGAGAGAACAAATACTAATTAAAACATAGTGATAACCATCAATGATGTACCAATTAAAACATGCTATTGTCACATTTTCAGCTTCACATAACTGAACTGCAACTAAAGAAACTTAAATCAAACATGTTATGATATATTACAATTGTTTATAATTGTGTGTATGTACTTTGCAACTTCTGTAGATATGTGTATAATAAATGTAGGTAGTGTTCGTATGTATGCCATAGGATTATACATATAGTCTACTATATGCACACAAGTTCACAAAAACTCTCTGAAAACAGTGGTACCAGCAGAGAAACAAATCACTGACAGTTTGTATGCCCAAGATAAATGCACAGAAGACAATTCCATGCAACATTGATGCATTAGCAGAAATGGAAAGAATGCAAAATATTAACAATAGATACGTATATAGTAAAATTTGATTTAAAGAATTATAAGACTAGCAGTATAATAAAAAGTATACAAAAAAAACTTTGGAAAATGTGTATTAGGACACAGAAAATAATTATTTTCTCTTAACATGCTTAGGCTAGTATCACTAAAAATAAAATCATTAGGATAAACTATTTAAAAGTTCATTTACTAGTGACTAATACATTATTATAAAAAAGAGCGCATGCCTCATCCTTTGAATTTTAATAGGACTAGCCTAAGAATACTATGTCAGAACAAAATTTATAGTGCATTTATAAATAAAAAGCCTTTTTTATACCACTTTTCTGTTTTGTTCAATGTAAGTAATTATGCAAACATTTCTATTGTGGCTTTTCTGTTTTTGTATTATTATGCACATAACCTCAATTCAATGAAATAAGGAAAAAGGAATCCTCAACCTATTTAAAAACCACATATGAAAAATTAAGGGATATCAAATCGTGCAGAAAAACATTTTCTGAAAGGAATACCTCGTCTGACTTTACAATTAATCATTGACTAGTATCCTTAACTATATATAATATATACATTGTTGAGGTTATGTTACAGTTGAAAATTGTATCATAAAACACTGAACTCTATAGTGTAGTGCTAAAAAAACATTGAATGATGGATGGATACACTATCTATGGTGTAACTTTTGTTACGTACAATCTTTTTTCAACATGGTATACTTTACAACATAAAGATTGATGATATCGATACTCTTTTTTTCTGATACAAATCCATGGAGTGCAAAGGATTAGTAAGCATGCTATGTATGTAATACTCTAAAAGCATTGACACAACCATATTTTAGTACAAATATCATCCTGTGGAATAAAGAGGTCGAAGAGGTGTCTATACTAAACAAAATTATACATTGCTGTATAGTTTTTTGATTCCAGAACTCATTTATATTCACTTTCGTTATACATACTTCCTTAACAATCTATGTCATAAGGAAATGAAATTCTAAAGAATGTTTAGATTATTTATACTATATGGCCCTCCGTATTGTTAGAATAGATCAATGTGCATATCGGGTGTGTGGTGCCTTCCACGTAGACTTGAACGTATTATGACAGATCACATGACGACAAAAATCTACATTGCTTATCCTGCCAGTGGAAACGCATTGCAACAGTCGCCATGCTTTTATCAAACAGTATTTCCATAAACTAACACATATATTCCTTTATCTCGCTCAGAAAAACCTAGATATTATCACAGTTTCTCTTCCAGCGTTAACTCACACTTAAATACATTACTGTTTCCTTTTCTCCCACAGTAATTACAACCCTAATAAAACCTTACTATTTAGTCATGGGTGCAACCAAAACATTCGCAAAATAGTATACTATTATACTTTTGGTTTTCCACTCGATCCTAGCATTACTTTTCTAAACATTGTTTAATTTCATTTTATTTATAAACAGCGATATGCATGGGATGATTATAGAAATTGGAATATGTTACGCTTATTTTTAAAAACAAATTTTTAGCTTATTAATTCAAACTATTTGGATGTAAAGATGTCATCTCGATGAAATCACAAGGGTAAATTATATCCTTCCGAAGGATATATAAAGTTATATTGTATCATGAATTATATCATATCTTCCATATTTTCATATATGCCTCGATTCTGATGACATCACAAATTAAGATATCGAGATAAAATTATGAAATGTTTTGACAGCACCCATATTATTAACCACATCGAACACTTGTCTATACTAGATAGACGATGTCTAAGCTCAAATACCAAGGACTTATTTTAAGATCTTAACAACGAATCTTTTTGTTGGCAGGAAGACTACTTGTTTACAAGCTTGAAGCAAGATTCTTATTTCTGAAACTGTTAACACGTTAAGCGTTGCATCAGTCACCATTGACTTCTTGTTAGTGATGTACAATTTGAAATATTATATTCTTAAGTTAAATGTTACATTAAATGCGTTGAAGATCATAAAAATGTTCTCAAAATACGCTCTACGATATTGTTTTAGAAGAACTAATTTGATTTGACCCACTTCGACACACATTTTGTGTTGATATTTTCAATGTAATGGACAGAAAATAATCTTTTCCAATTACATCAGAACATGAATCAATGGTAACCGACTGAAGAAAGAAGCATTTCTGAAAAAGCCAATAAAAATACACATTGTAGTATATAAATTGTAATGAGATTACATAGTAGCGTGCAATAATAACAAAATAAGCTTGGCGCTTAACGTGTTAAGCACATTGAACACTTTTTCATTCTAAATAAACGATGTCTAAGCTCAAGTACCATGCACTTATGTCAAGACATTAACAACGAATCCCTTTGTTTGGCAGGAAGACTACTCGTTTACAAGCTTGAAGCAAGATTCTCTTTTCCAAAGCTTTTAAGCACTTTTAAGTAGATTTTAAAATCTTAAATAGGGTAAAATGGTCAGCATCGTTTCTTGAACTATTGACTTGTGACAATCATGAACTGTTAAGCAGATAAAATCGAGATTCGTTGGGATTCTATGTTCATCGCAGAGACTAATAAATTTCTTTTAAATAGAAACTAAATGGACGTACATGTACACATAGCATTTGTTACTTAACATTAAATCCTACATATAAATAGACGGAAAACACAATAGTGCGACTAGCGTTGAAACTGCGCAATACAAACGCAAGTATATGTAAATACGCAGTTGGAAGCTCGAAGCTTGAGAGCCTCGCTTAAACGTAATAACAAAGTGTTTGTTGCATAGTTAATATTTAGGCCTTAAGTAGGAATCTATCATGAGGTAAATCGAATTTAAAGTTTCACGACATAATAAAATTCACGATTTATACATTATATATTAAATACCTTAAGTAGGTGTTCATCTATATTTACGTATTTGTGTATATTTATATTAAAGTGCTCTCCAAAATGGGCTCTAAAATTTTGTTTGTTCAATAACAAAATGCGTGTGATAGCATCACTTCCATTTTAAATATGAAACTTGGATATATTCCATATTGTTTGTGTCTTATTAAAAAAACAAAATCTTAAAGTCCTTTATGGAAAATCCTTTATAACGTGTATGTGATAATATTCAACTCGCTCTCTATTCAATATAGAATTTCAAAACTGTGCTTCTATGCAACAAGTGATTCTTTCATCGATTATATTGATCTGAGGTTCTTCTATTTTTATAGATCTATCATTTACTTCTTCTTTTTTTGTATTTTAAATATTTAACAATGTATTCCTAAAATAATACAAAATAAATAACATCCTCGACCAGAAAGGAAAATCTTTTCTATGCGTTGTACAGTTCGAGAGCCTTACTTATATTTTTCTAGAATATAAACGTTTTCAAAAACCAACAAATAAATAAATAAATAAATAAGGATTTTCAATTATTGTTTAAGTCCCACTGAGAATGCAGTCGGTGACATTTTGGAAACTCGTTTTGATGCTGCTATCTGTATCCGTATCTTTCTAATTGTTTAGATTTATGCTCGAGTCCAATATTTAAATGCCACTTAAATATAAAGTTTTCGTATGCTACCCTGTGCTTTAGAATCTATAAAATTGTTGAAATGCGAGGAAGTTATATTTAATGTTATTAACAAATTTTTTTTCAATATCATTGAAACCTTTCGAAATGATTTTCAAAGATGCGAACAATCCACATCTGAATTTTTAAAAGACAGTGTAATTCAGTATTGGTTCCTCTTGCAGGCGATGAGAACCTTACTCTAAAAGATGAGAATGAGATATTGAAGATACGAAAAGAGTAGTCAGTATTTGACATTTAAACTGACAAATTGTTAAAAGAACAAAGTTTTCAGTTTAAAGTCAAACTACTGAGTCATGATATATATATTATTAATTGACTTAAAAAGTATCTCCTGGTTACGTATCTTTTAGAAAAATTCTCATCTCCTTTACGTTAACCAAATTTATTGAACACATTGGCACTTTAATTAATATTAATTAATTGTACATTTTCCAATATATTTGGTGTGTATACCGCCCCGCAAAGGTTTAATTGTATTTAGCAAGATTAAAGTAATATTAAACTTTCGACGTAACAAAAATGTAAAAGAAAGATGTGTTCTGAACTATACTTGTGAAATTTTAAACTTATACCATTTCGATCGTGCAAAACTTTGAAGATTTTGCAGAAATAGTGACTGAATTAGATTTAGTTGACTTTAATTAGATTTAGAATAAAATAAAAATAAAAGTGGCGCTAAATACAAATTTTACTTTGCACTTCTATATTTAAATTGCCTTGATGACTACGAGGCTTCAATTAAAGCTTTCACTGGTTCTCCTACTTACTTTACTTCGGATCCCGTCCGACAAGATTTGATATTCGAGAGCCTCGTTATTATAATAATATTTAAACTACATAACTATTGCAAACATTATAATTTCTTACTTTATATAGTGTTCTCCTACGTAAGAAAATTTTATGAAATTTACGTATGTGCGACGTAAAAGAAAAATGGCACCAGTCTTAGGATCACTGTACCGATTTCTCTCATACAATAAAGAATAATAGAAATAGTATTAAAAGTATAAAGTGTATATATAAATAAATCTATAAAATCCGTAAACTCATATCAAATTGATACAATGACACGTTAGAAAATTAATTAGTGTCGTGAATCGATGCAAATGCCGAACTATTAATATTTAAAAGTCGTTTTTAAAAAGATGCAAATTGTGAAAAATGTTTTTCAAATGTTCTCAAATAGTTGTGTCGAGAAGAATTTGAGAAAGAAAAGATAAACCAGTATTTTTATCAGTCCGATACGTAATTGTTGAGCGGTGTATAAATTATTTGGAAGCATATTGTATTGAATTCGTTTTGTTTCCTACTATATACTAAGAAAATTAATCGTATCGACTACGATCTTCTTAATTAATTATAAAATGCACTTCGTGCACGTTACTTTCTGGCTATCGTATCCTATGATTACGATCTTACTTTCTTCTTGACCGAGAAAGAAAAGGATTATATTTCAGCTCGCATTTAATGCAATGCTAAATATAAAAATAAAAAACAAGAGAAATTAAGTTACACTTTCTTAAGTGCGCCAATGTAGACTATCACTGTTTCTCATTAATAAAAATAGTTGGTCCACCGTATACAAAAAGAAAAGTTGCGAAATATGGGAAATGGAAAATCATTGTACGATTAACCCTATATATTGCTTCTGAAAAGTATTAGACGTTAGTTGGTGGATCCATGGCGCAAATGATAGATTTCATTACGCTGGCAGCAGCCAAAGATGCATACGGCTGCCACTCTTTTATACGCGAGCCGTCTTTGTAATCGGAAATACCTCGAATAACAGCGAAACTTTCACGACAATTGCCCAAAATACTTTCAACTACGGCGTCCATTTCTGCGTCGAAGGCGAGACATCCAAAACGAGCTGCAAATTTCTGCTTAAGCTGATCATCGCGTGCAATATGTCTACCAGATGCCACCGGTGCTAAGTGAATTCGGGGACAGCCATCCGTTCTGAAAAATAAACGTCGCAGATTAGCTTTAATAAAAATTTAACGACTAATGAACAATTTGAAATATCCTACTTTTCAATTAACATCTACTTACTATATAATTCTCGTCTATACAGGGTGTTCCAAAAATGTTGTTCACCTTGAAAGGCGTGGTTGGGGAGGTGATTTGAAACAACTTTTTCCTTAGCGAAAATATTGTCCGAGGCTTCGTTGAGGAGATATTAACGGAAAGCACTGACCAATCAGAGCGCGAGGATGCCAGTGGGGCGCCCGCGGTAGTCTTTGACTACGCGCTAGGTGGATCGCCCTCACGCTCTGATTGGTCCGACGTTTTCCGTTAATATCTCCTTAACGAAGCCTCGAACAATATTTTCGCTAAGGAAAAAGTTATTTCAAATCAACCCCTGAACCACCCCTTTCAAGGTGTTACAACTTTTTTGGGACACCATGTATATACAGAGTGGAGGTGATTTGAAACAACTTTTTCCTTAGCGAAAATGTCGTCCGACGCTTCGTTAAGGAGATATGCAGAGAAGACGCCGGATCAATCAGAGCGCGAGACCACGCCTACCGCGGGTGGTCCGCCGGAATACTCGCGCTCCGATTGATCCGACGTTTTCCGTTAATATCTCCTTAACGAAGCCTCAGACAATATTTTCGCTAAGGGAAAAGTTGTTTCAAATCACCTCCCGAACCACCTCTTTCAAGGTGTTACAACATTTTTGAGGCACACTCTATATTTAGGTTTATAATTTTCAATTAAACATTAAACAAAAAATAGTTTCTTCAAGGCTAACAATTAATTACACTAGTTTACAAAATACAAAAAAAAAATGTACATTCAATTCCACAATTTATTTCTTATGTATTTTGGCCTACTAAACTCGAAAATCGCAAGAAAAAATTTTTCTATGGATAGGTTTTTTTTATATGCATTTTTGTATTTTTTTTTTTTCGATTTTTTCGGACATACGTTCACATTTTAGACCATATCTCGAGTTAGAAACGTCGGATTAAGTCGCGCAAGACGCCAATTTAAAGGTAATCAAATTTTCAACAATTGCTTTTTACGTTATTTTCCAATCGGTTCAATAGTTTAAGTGTTACGAGCCAATATGTATGAGAAACTTTGATTTTTTCAGCGAAAATATAACACGAATATTTCTTCCATTGCCATGGAAAAATGGAAATTGTCAAATTATGTCTAGTTTCTTATTGTTTACGTATAGATCGCACTTTTACGAAGAAAACAAGCTTTTGTTGAAGAAAATCTATGGATAAATACAGGAGTTAGGAACAATTGAGTAAAGGTACAAAAATTCCAATTTTACTCTGTTTTTGTAATAGAAAAAATTACCTTTTGTTTGCTGCGACCGAAGGTGCAGTAGGATGCGCCACTTCGATAACGTCTCTTTCGCCAATAGCCATGTACAATTTATCAGATTCTGGCGGAGGTGGTTTAAAATCATGCTCCGTTTGGTTACTTAGAATATCTAAACCTTCTTTTAGATATACTTGCCATGGAGGATTAGTCTCATGTTCCGACTGAAAAATTCACGATATTTGTAAATAATAGATTCATATTTCCATCACTAAAAAATATTATAAAGCGAAACTAATTTACCTGTTCCTTGAGATTAGTAGCAATTTCTTGAATACATAAATTTGGTGGACAATATTCTTTAGTCTCGAAATGATAATCACCACTTTCGCTAGCCTTTGCACTTTCACAATATACATAAATGTATTTCTTGTTCAGAGGAGCAGGGTACGAAACAACTACATCACCAAGTCGTACATGTTTGTTGTAATCCGTATAATGCGGTACACCTCCTCCAATTCCAATTAGAAAAACGAAATCTACTTTTTGAAATGTACCTGAAAAAATATATATTGAATGATTAAATACAAAATTTATTATAACTTAATTTAACTTATATATTATAACTTATAACTTATATATAACTTATAATTTAATTTAACTTATTATAACTTAATTTACTAGTTAGAAACTGAAAATAATCTTAATACTACCTAACAATCTAGTAGTTGTATTTCCTGCTGCAGTCATTGCTTCTCTTGTATGACCTACAGTTGGCAGTTTTGTGCATACAATTCTGTGTGCGCCAATATTTCCTAACGTATAAACATTTGATTCTCCTATAACAGAAAATAATTTCATCTTGCATCGTACGAATTTCAGTTTTATATATATTAAACATTTTTAAAAATTGTGTATGATACATGTGCACTGGTGCTGCTATAAACAGACTGATATCAAAACCTGTGTTATATGTGAATAAATTGATTAAAAAGAATTCATTCCATACGGATGCAATTATGTTCGGTATCTATTATCAGATACGTACTTAAATTTATCAATTCAAAACTTGTGTATAGTATACTAAATAATTAAATTTTCTTAAGAAGTGATAAATGGTGAGCATTACTTAGTTGCAATTTATAAATTGCAAAACTTATGTACTACTTTACGTAAAAGCATATGAATTCTCTCTGCTGTGACGATATTATTTTTAAATACGTAATCATTCAATTTTTCTTCGATATTCGATATTCAATGTTACGTTACTCATGACTTGTATATTTCTGCCTTCATTTTTAATCTCCAGTTATTGATATATAAGTGGATGTAAATTTAAAATTCAAAATATCTGCTATATATATATATATGACATGAGTATCACAGATTTTCTTCCGACAAGAAATTAATTGACTAAAGTACCAATAATTGACGGTAATAAAACAAATAAATATATACATATCTGTATATGTATACTGAAAGTAAATGGTTTTCTCCAGCTTTATTTTTCATATTATTAATCATTTTTTCTTTTAATAGTAAGCAATTATTATGGAAGGTTAAAAAAACAAAATTGTATGCCATAATCCCATACAGAAACGAAATGAACAGAAAAAACAAAGGACACATGAAGAGAAAAACACTTTGTGAATGATTTTAAACCAAGACCCTTCGAAATGTGTATGCGATAGACATAATTTGCAAATATTCCTGAAAAAGTAAATGTTTAAACACAAAGACATGATATGACGTGAGATGATACTTTCAATATGATGTATGACACTTGATGCAAAGTATCGATTAATGGTTTCTGCAATGGAGTAAACAATACTTTAACAAAAATGCCTCGTAACATATACTTTATGTAGTACAGTGGCTCTGCGATACTTCTTGGGTACAAGCAATTGGCAAGCTTTAACATTAACGTGACATTAAAACGGAAAAGGAGCTATATTACAAACTACTTTACCAAAACGGGATATCACGCGCGGTACTCCATTTGTTGCGTCTGATGAGCTTGTCGTACCTGAAGTTTCATGCGTATTGAAATATATGTACAGTGGGTGTAGAATGTATTCGTACACCGATCAATTTCCTAAAAAACTTTTGTGTGAAATTGTAGTTTATCAACTTCATTTTTTATAATCAATGATATTTTACATATTCTCGGAAGTCTCTAAGATAGATATAGTCCAAACAACATTAACTAGTTAATATAATTTGTGAAATTAACAAAACAAATGCGAAAAGTGGATAAAAATATAGAAGCAATAAATATTTGTACAATTCTTATGACGAACCATTTAGAGTAGAGTTTGTAACTTAAACACATTAATTTACTGCTCTGTACGAATTAGAAAACATCAAATTTCCAGTAAAGTACTTTTAAAAATGGTTCTAATAGAGGAATGGAAAAAAATCACACTTCGAATAACTAATAATTTAGTTAATTTAATGCTTAGAAGAGTTGCAATAATTATAAAATAAAAAAGAAATCCCTACGAAGATCCCTACGAGGAAGTATTATATACTTATAAATTAATGTAAATTTCTTTTATTTTTAATGAAGTTTTAAAAATTAAACAGTTGTCCGAATACTTATTGCTTCAATATTTCTATCAATTAATTCCTTTTTTCTTGTTAATTTCGCAACTTACATAAATAGCTATTTTTTTTTGTACTCTCTACAGATTTCCGAGAATATGTAGAATGTCATTGTTTATAAAAAATAAATTAATAAATTACAATTTTACACAGTTTTTTTGGAAATTGATCGGTGTACGAATACTTTCTACACCCACTGTATATTTGTCACACGTTGTGTGTGTTTTACCATTGATTTGTGTGATATTAAAATTAATACGAGTGTTGCAACATTGTTGTATTTGAATTGAAAATCTGGAATATAATTTTGTAATAATAAATTTCAATTCGAAAATAAGGTTACAATGTGTAACCTATAAACAGGTATATAAATACCTATATTTACATCGAATAAAACAAAAATAAAATAACACACATTATACATTGTCATTAGGTCTCAAAGTCATACAAATATATCCAAGGAAGACTATTTTTTTTCAAAGTAGCATAAATATTCCAGGCAGTAGCATTATATATGTAATTATTTTATAGTCATATTACGTTACATATATAAACAACACAAGTATCCACATGAAATTATCATTAAAAAGTAGGAGATAATAGAAGAGATAACAAAGCATAGCTTCAATTTTTATGTAGAATCTAATATATTTCTGCTGATATAGATCTCATTTTAATTTTAATACTCAGAGCTCTAGTATCGGTTGTTATAATAAGTAGTATTTTTTCAGATAAAAATAAGTGTGTATTTTCTCCTAAACGACCTTGAATTAAAAATTCGAAAAGACAATTATAAAAATGGCCAAATGGATAATGTAAATGGTATATATCGGTCCCAGTATTCGACAGACTTCATTTATGTAGCGTTTGAAATAATTCAAATTCATTGAGCAGCAAAAATGAATAATTGTTCTAATTAAATAATTGTTATTGTTCTATTACAGAACATGCTTTGTGTAAAAAAAGAATGGAAATTCATATTTCCTTGCTAATCTCTAAATAAAGTAAGCGAGATTAAAAAATAGATGATCTATTTTACGTAAACGATAATAAAGAGATACCTTCTCATCCTTCCTTGTATCCCCTATCATTATAAAATTATTTTATGTGCTACTTATCTAAAGATAGCCTGCATATACATATATATCCCCTGTCTCTCTTATATAACTACATATAATCGATAGAAATTAATATAGACATAGGGGTGGTATAAAAGGTGGATAATTACATAATATTAAAGAAGACGCATCTTACCAACGGTAGTATAGCGGACAAACGTTTCTCTGTTTTCGATCAGGGAATCTACTGCAAGCTTTTCACAATACTGCGCTGTAATAATTGCTATAGTAGGTTGTTTTGCACTCGCCATTGTTGGCATTTGCTTCACAACCTAAAAATAAATAATAAAATATTTTAATATCGACAATATCAATATAGTTATCACTATACTAAGGAATAAAATTTAAGCGAAACTTACTTGAATCTGAGTATCTTGGTGTACGACTCTTGTGAATGCTCCATGTTCCATTGCTTTTACGACACCCTTCTCTTGTAATTCTTTCAACTTTATTTCAACAGCGGAAGGATCCCACCCATATTCTCTGCAATCAGAATTTATTGTAACATTTAAATATTGTTTCGTTTGTAGCAGATAAATTCCGAAACGTTTATAATGTAAATCTTACTTTGCCAAGTCAACAACCGTTACTGGATTTGGATACGCGGATTCAATTAGTTCTAACACCTTTTCTAATGTCAGTTCGATCACTTGTCCCATGACTGTTTCATCTGCGGATACTGTTAAATAAGAAAGAATCAAGCATTAAAACATCCTGTTACTGAATCATTTATATTTGCAAAGTGCATAAATTGCTCTGCGTTAAATTAATTTTGTGTGAATAGCTCTGTAATAAAAAGAATATTCTGATGAATAATTAACTACAATTTGAAAATGTAAAATATGTGTCTACCATATTAAAAATAATCAAATACTATTTATAATTCAGTTAGACGCAAGTCTTACTACTACTGATTCCTTCTGTGGAATTGCTGACATAGAAATTAAGTCTACATGTCATATATGGCAGTGAGTAATCACGTGGAATCAAGGTGAATGGTACTTTATATGGTGTCACAGTTGTTCTAAATAGCAAAATAGTAATAATAGAACGCTACGTAAGTTATACTAGATTTTCTATTAACAGATACCTACTAAATTAAAAACAAATATTATGTAAATTATAATATGAAAAGTAACGTTTTCTTTATAAATGGTAGAAATTTCTTGAAAGTATGAATTAATTATGTTAATCTAAAGTAATATACACCTAGATGACTTATTTGTTTGTCACTTAAATGAATTAATTTTAATCTACGTTAGAACATTAAATATAAATAGATAATATTATCGATGCATTAATAATCATGCACTCGCATTACTGGTTCAAAACGCTGTGTAGATATAATCTATAATTTAAAAATGATGGTGAAGCAGAGAATTTTTTGTTAATTAATGAACCATTTCTAGAAAAACTAATAAAGTTGTAATCATTGGGCAATACAATTTTAGTTGATTGTTAAAATGGACACAAGAAAATAATGATAGTTTATTATTTTGTATTATTATGTAATGCAGAAACTAGGGAATAGAGTGTGTTAAGTCAATGTAGTTATGGTTACCGCTGTATAATGTGTAGCAGTGAAACATACATATATCTACCGGTCAAGATAAGAATAAAACTCTCTCCTCTATTTTTTATTACACTTTTCTACTTTGTGGATTATCAACTAATGAATAAAATGAAATCACAGTAAATCCATACAAATAACAGTTGCATATGGAAGTAAATCTTCTAGTCAAATTTTCGACCGGCAAATATTAAATAAATATTATCTTTGTACAACTGACAGTACATAAAAAAATCACATAAAGATAAAAAAGATGCACAAAATAAGCAACTTTTTCATTCTTTCCAACCTGATTTCCAAATAATTCTCTTACATGGAGGAAGTGTGAACAGTTTATGACCAGTATTAGCTGTGAATAACAGAGACGAAAAAAAAAGTTTTATTTCACACAACTAATTAGAAGAATATAAAATATTAATATAAAAGTGCATTTAATATTCAATATTTAAGTGTATGTTACAGATACAATGATCTGCACAAATCTGAAGTGTGCATTTCCTTCAGTTTTCGTTCCAATGCGCACTGAAGATGCCTCATACATATCTTTCAATAAAGAACCATTTAGTTCAATGGACCTAATCAAATAAATCTTGATGCTACTCCCTACTTGACAGCTTGTTTCATTAAAACAAGAAATAAGTACATTATGAAATAATCGAACTACTAATCGAAATCAAACCAGCCAACTGGATGAATAATTCTATATCCAAATATAATTTTTCAATATTAAAATTTAATACGGTACGGTTGATTTACATATTACTTTTTTCTCAATATGTACTTAATTTTCAAATATTAACTATCTACTATTATCAATAAAAAAAAAAAAAACAAATATTTATTTAGCAAAAAAGAAGAATATTTCACTTACATGGCCTAGCTGGAAGATTAACTGGTTCCTCGAGCTGTTTCAATTCTACTTCTATCTTTTTAATGCTGGGATACTTGTGCAACATTAACTTCATTATTTTCATTATAAATCCAACGTAATCTGTAAAAAATCATACAATGATTGGTTCGATAGTTAAACTCGCTATTACGAACAAATGAAATTACAAAATACAATTTTAAAATGTTTTTACATACTTATATTAAAGTAAAAGCATTAAAGAAAATATTTTATTTGCATAATTTTTTGTTTATTGATATGTTACCAGTTGAAACTTCAAATATTATAACATGCATACAGTTAGATATTATCGTTTTCATAAATGTGATATATTGATTTTATAATTGACTTTTACTTATTTACAGGCATAGATCAATAATTCACAAAATGTCTAATTTGTGTTATGTTAATTTGACCCGAATATTATAGATGTAACGGAATTTTAGAAAATAAAGGAATTTCATTTATCCGCAATTATATTATTAATAAATATTCATTTTACTGATTTACCTCGTGGAAATTGTTGAGGACAAACTAATTCCCTAAAGAATTCTTGCGCCACACTGGGACGTTCAGTCTCTGAAAGAGCATCTGTGAACCAAAATTGAAGAGTTCTGGATTCTTGCGTGTGTTTCCCAGTTTGACCACTCACTAAAAATACTCTGAATTGCAAGCAAAGATGCGCCGGATGAACTTCGCCGTTTGCAACTACACAGAAATGACCGAATTACATTTAATTTATATCGACAGTATCTGCGACACTATAATTCATCACTTTGATTAAATTTGTCCATTTATAAATAAATGTTTATATGTATATATGTATACCAGCAACGGTTTGTTTGTTAACAATTATTCCTTTGTGATCTCCTCCAGCGATATAAACATTGTTATCATTTCCATTTTCTGCTGGTGGTTCTATAGCTTGTCTTTCTATTACCAGTACCATGGGATTCATAGTCTTGCATTTTGGAGTCATGACAATATGTTCTAATAAATGAAAGCATAGGAAAAAATTAGATTTATTAGAAGATACAGTTAACGTTTCGCAATTGTGTTAGAAAAATGAAATAACTATATAGATTATTCGCTGTTTACTCTTGATAATTAAAAGTAATGTGAATTTATTTTTATTTGGTAATTGTTTCAACAGCTGGCAGCTGTTAGAAAAATGAATTTAGAAAAATGAATAAATATATAGATTATTCACTGTTTACTCTTAATAATTAAAAGTAATGTAAACTTATTTTTATTTGGTAATTGTTTCAACAGCTGGCAGCTGTTGACACGAAACATTGCAATTAAATGTTATTAAAAAACCAAAAAAAAAAAATTGTAACGGAATCGATTCCGAATTTAATTTTACGACAACCTAGTTTAATATATAATAATATTCGCATTCACCTGTTTTATTATCACCCATGTCGACCGTTGTTTCTCTTATCTTTTACGTGCGTTGAGTAATGTTTTCCTTTTATGACGGTCGAAGAAAACAATGGTAATAAAAGGGCACTGAAATCGAATGCAGACAATGCACGGACTTAAGAGTGACAATATCACTGTTTATCTAACGACGAATACTCGCGCACTACTGCGAGAGCTTAACCGACTTTTTATTGTCCCACCACGGTACGGTGCGGTTCGGTGTTCGCGCTGTCAAATCGCAAGCTGTATACAGGGTGTCCCAAAAATGTTGGAGGTCATTGAATGGGTAGGTTGGGGGGGTGATTTGAAACAACTTTTTTCTTAGCGAAAATGTTGTCCGCGATTTCGTTGAGGAGATATTAAGGGGAAACGTTGACCAATCAGAGCGCGAGGATGCCGATGGAGCGTAGGTTACGCGCTAGGCGGCCGCGCTCATACGCTACCGCGGGCGCTCCACCGGCATACTCGCGTTCTGATTGGTCGCTTCACCGCCGTACTCGCGCTCTGATTGGCCAGTGTTTTCCCTTAATATCTCCCTAACGAAGCTTCAGACAACATTCTCGCTAAGGAAAAAGTTGTTTCAAATCACCCCCAGAATCACCCCTTTCAAGGATCTCCAACCTTTTTGGACACCCTGTATAACTTCCTTCTCCTTTCTACTCAACATGTCTTGCGGATGTGATACGAATAATTTTCGAAAAGTAAAGCATAACGTAGAGCGGACAAAGTTGATTCGCGTAAAAAATGGTCGAGACTAAATGATCGATTCATGCAGGTATCAATATTATTTGTAGCATTGTAGGAATAATTATCGATCGAACTGATGACACATGGCACCGCCCTACGCCATATTTATACTTGAGCGTGACGTGTTGCTCTAATTACGTCATCTCTGTTTTTGCAAGTCGAACAATCATGGTGTCATAGTTCTCGACTCTTGTGTTATGACGTCGATGTATACGACTATACAGGGTGGTCATTTTATCTGAAGACATTGAAATATTTCGAAAACGATGCGTCAGATTTTTGGGGGCGTCGCAGTCCGCTGTCCCTAGTTTAACAATCTTTACAATCTAGCTACAAATTCATCGTTTGATATTATTATATATATATTACCTTGTCTTCTTTTCCTAAAAATGTTAAGTCCCTGAAGAGGCGCCACGATAATCTTGCCCGGGGCGCCAATATTGCTAAATCCGACCCTGGTTACAACGACGTAGAATTTGTTGGGTACGAATGATGCAATGTTTTTATGCGCGAAGGAAGTTGAAATTCTAAAGAATTATTGCAGCTCATTGTTCGATAAGAAGCCAAGCGTAGATTAGATCGAGTGCATTGGAAACGTAAAAGTATTGTTAATTCGTAAAATCAACGATTATTCATCGAAGATTATTCGTCGCTTTCATTTATCTTTAAATAAACTCATTTATTCAATAAGCTATTATTTTACCTCGAAAATTGCACACTTTCCCAAAAAAATACTTTTTAGTGAACTTTAAAGTGATAATTATCTCTTCCAATATTTTTGAAGCCATTATATTTTCGCGACACAAATATTAACTTACAAAAAATTAATTTCACGCAAACATATGTTTTCCTTTACCTAAAAATTAAATTGTATAAAAAGAACAAATTAAGGATTTCCCATTTGCTCTCCAATTTTGTTGGGCCACTCGAATCAAAATTTTTATTGAATTTTGTGGCAATCGCCATCAATATATTATTTATTATATTATATAATATTAATCAAATAATATTAATATATATTAATATATACATTATTTATTATTATAATAACATTAATAACTATTAAGCAATACTTCGTCTTCATAAACGATTAATTTGATAAAGTATGTAGTTGTCGTTGTTAAAATCGCAATATTTAAAAAATTAATTACATCTTTAAATATAATTGAAATAATATTTAAAATTTATTTTTGTTAATCATTGTGAGCAATTTTTCGTTCATGATCATGCCGTCTTGAGACACAGCTGTGGTTATCAAACTCCACGTATTCTTCGAAATCAATCCCTCCTTGTTGCTTGTAACTGTATATGCTTCTGCCTAAGCAGATTCATGTTACTCTATTCATTCTACATAATGTTCAGGACCGCGTTAGGAGAGGGCACGACCGTGCAACCGCCCGGGGCGCCATGAGTATGTATGTACAATCTAAGTTGTTTTTCTTTTGCTGTAAGTTGTTATTTAACTATTCGTTCAAATTATACATGTTTCTCTAATATTAACTCAATCTTTAGGTTTATATACAATTACAAGAAATGTTCCCTTGGTCCCTTTCCTCCCCAAAGAAAAGCCTCGGACAACATTTTCGCTAAGAATAAAGTTGTTTCAAATCACCTCCTGAACCACCCCTTTCAAGATGTTACAAAACTTTTGGGACAGCCTGTATATACCCTTGAAGGGGCGCCGTGATAGTATTGCCCAGGGCGCCAATATTGCTAGAACCGGCCCTGGTAGTGTTCGTCATACAAATATCATTTTATTAGCATTATTCAAACCCAAACAAAATAAACCTGCTGTACTACATACAAAAAAAATTTTTTAAATATCCTTTTCTTACCATTCAGGATACTGGAATAACCGATTTGTATCAAAACAAAAATTACATCGTGTGTATAGCTGTCTATCTAACAGCTATTAGCCGCGTGGGAATGTTTTTGTTTGAGAGCATTATGTTCGATAAAGAATCTTCATTGTTTAAAAATATTGTTGCGTTTTCGTCTAATCTTTGTTAAAATCATAGATAAAACAGATTTTTCGAATAAATCATGTTACGTACAAATTGAAAGAAAAGCAAAAATTGAATTGCATCCTAACGATACGTAGCCTTATCGAACGATTTGTTCAACGATATCAATAATATGTGTCATATCACTGCGGTAATTTCCGGGACAATAAAAAGATTCTGTCAACAATAAAGAAATACCTGCAAAAGTAGTGATGTCAGTGTTGGGATGTCCTGGTTATTTTTAGACCTTTTCAGTACGTCTCGAGTTTCCATTGGTGGAACACGCTATCATTGATCGCCAACTACCAATCAGAGATCGTAACGCGTCTAGCGCCTTTCGCGCGTACATGCATGGACGGAATCGTTTGTATTGACTGTACGATGAAATTGAGCACGGGGAACCCTGCACGTAGATCTTGGTTTGTCCTTGTTTATTTTTCGCAGTACATTGGGAAACCGTCAACAGACGTTTGCGGAAATCTGCCATACCAAGTAAAAATTTCTTGTATGTAACATCGACTTTGCTAATATATTATCGTTATTATAAAATAATTTTGTAACATGAACTACCTCGTTATTGTAGGTGCAACGTTTGCAAGAATTTTCAAGGGCGTGTTGGCTTGGATACAAATGTGAAATATCGTTATCGTTTTCAGTCTCTTTGAAAAGGTAATCGTATATGTAAACATACAACAGTTAGTATTTGTGAAATTATTAATTTTAAATTACGATTATTATTGATAGTAATTAATAGCATAAAATCGTTACTAATTATATTATAATTAGTTATATTAGGAATATTCCATTCGAATTTCGACAAATATCCATCATTTTTTAATTGTGCAATTAATATTCATTAATTTTATCATACAAAATATTTATTTTTATTTTCAATTAATTTTTAATAGTATTTTAGTATTAGTATTTAGTATTAGTATAAATAGTAATTTAATAATAAATGTTTTTTATACAAAAGAACAGCTTGAAATACTTTTTACCAATAAAACTGCGAAAGTGTAATGAAGTACATATTTTATAAAATTTCAAAAAATTCTATAACATTGGATAGACTATTATTGTGTTTGTAGTACCTTTTCTGTAACTAACTAAAAAATAACTAATATTCATGTAACAGAGTCAGTATATACATATCAGTATGTACATGTAATTCAAGCAAATTAGTTCAATTTCTCTCTCGTAACTATTATGCATTATTATCAATTATTATATGTAAGCAGCGATGGGTAAAACCCTAGGTTTTGAATAAATCTAATTTGCCGATATGCTTGTCTCGTTTCGAAAATGAACATTTTCCGGAGAAAGAAACGAGACAAACACATCAATAAACCTCAGATTTATTCGAAGCCTAGGGTTTCGCCCATCCCTGTACGTAAGTTGTGGAGTCACATTAGTAATGAATAGACTGTGGATCTTTGTGCATTCATAGAAAATTTGAATGTGCAAGAAACTACAAAATGCAAACAATATGCAAGAATATAAAAAAGATTGAAAGTAAAGTTCATGTGCAGAATAAAATAAATTCCTATTTAGGTTCAATTTTTATAGAAACGTTCGCGAATATTTTATTTTGCATAAAGATCCGCAATCTAGTAATGACTAGAATCAAGTATGAACCGTATATTTTGGATATTTCTCTTATCGTATGATTCATTAGTGATTATTAATCATTGTTCTAGTAATATGTAGAAACTAAATGATAAAAAAAATTCAACGATAAATATATAAGCATTACTATGATAGATTGTGTATTGATAACTATTTTTTTCTATGATTACAGGCTTATAGCCTTCCATATCAGAGATATAAAACACAGATACTCCAGCGGTTACATTTTAGAAAGTAATTCAAAGTGGAAAAAGGCGCAATGATGAGTGACAGTGTTTGTACAGGTAGAGAAATGTTTTTTTTTAAATTGGTATTAATGAATACGATAATAACATTTTCTCTTACAGTAGACTACCATATAGTTAATATGTGCACGTTGTATAAAATTATGTTACAATCTCTTTAGAGTCTATTGTATTCTCATTTGATGCTACTGAAAAATGTAACAATTGATGGTGACCCTGAATTTAATACTTTTACAGTTGAGCAACTAAATCCTGATCAACGGAATGCATACTTTCGAGTACTCGATTCTCTTCAGGAAAACAAGGTTATCCTAATCGATACTCCAAGTGGAACAGGCAAAACTTTTATGTTATCTCTCTTGGCGAAAACAAATTTTAATTCTGACAAACCAGTACACTTCGTCACTTTTAGAAGAGATCAAGCAAGTGAAATGGTTTCAAAGCAAATCGAAGGATACACTTATATCTCATATAACATGCGTAACTTTAGTTTGTCTTATAATTCTGCAATCCATATGTTTAATATGGATAGTAAGAACAATATTGACCTACTTTATAAAGTGCTTCAATACTCGAAAAGCTATGCCTATGTCAGTCACATGATAAACGTTATTGTTTTAGACACATATACCGTAGCTTCACCAATTATGTTACTTTTATTATACATAGTGGCACTTCAAAAGAATACACAATTAATTATCGCCGGAGATAAATTACAACCTGGTCCTATGCCCAGATCTCGATTTCACGGTAGAAATAATTTCTTCTTTGCCAATACACTATCTGATCTGATGATAGACGATTTAACCAAAAACATGCGATCGCCTGACCGTGATTTCGTAAATAAACTATCGCGTTTACGTGAAACGTTAGAGAGCTACAGTCACACGGAAGATATTCCGCTGCGTTTTGATTTCCGTTACTTATTGTACTGTCTTTTCCGACCAAAATATTTCGCCGAGGAGCGTTTCGATACTGTTTACATGGCTCAGTGTCATTGCGACCTCACAGCACGTTTGTACCGTTACATAGACCATCTCGAATCTTTGAAGATGCAATACGTAATAGAGCCGTTTTACACGCCTAAAGATCAAGGAGGCAGTACCATTTTAATGCCATTAACCACCCCAAGAAACCAGCCACATAAATTCTTTCCCGGTTTACTTTTGGTAATTGGTTGTAAATATATCCACATAGCTGAAAATGGCAAGCACACTTTTGTATGCCTAGAAGGAATGGTTTATGAAAACAATCGACTCGAGTCTCTTCTTATTCGTCCCATAAGTAACAAATTATGTAATCAACAAAAGATTGAACGTTGTTACCTTAATTATTATCAGGTTCTACCGGCGTTTCGTAAATGGTTATTGTACGGGTCTAACGAGAATGCAAAATTAATGCAATTCCCTTTGCGTATATACACGTCAACGTATCACGCTGCTTTAGGGAGTACAGTTGACAAAGATGTAGAACTTTGCATTAATTCTAGCGTTAAGGCTAACATTACAATTAACTCCGTTTATGCTGGCCTTTGTTGCATAACTCGCGAGTCAGCTATTCACAAAATGCACGCCGATACGGATCTTTTAAGTTTGATAGTGACTGAATACATGGAAAATGAACGGGACGATAAAAAATTTTATTATCGTTGCCCTTCGGATGTGAAAGACAAAGCAACTCTGCGAGCTGCTTCTAATTATCAAAGTGGCAGAAATGATTTTATAGATGGCATGAAATGGATCACTGCATCCAGTATTAATATCTTCGAAAAGGAAAACAATAAAAGTTATTTGCGTATAAAACGTAGCAAGTATAAAGCGTCGAAAAGAGATAATAAGAATACACTTTTAATGAATATCGCAGAATTTATTAAGGACAACAAGAATTTAGTATGTAATACAATTAAAACTATACCTAATGAAAACTCCAGTGTGGCCATCCAGAAAAAGAAAGCGAAGGAAAATTATAGAGAATCGAAGGCATATTTGGTTTTGAAAGAAGCGTACAATTCTTGGAAGTCTAAAAATGTAGAAAATGAAGAATAAGTTTTAAATTATGTTTAATATAATGAATATTAAGCTCTTCATATTTATGACTATTTTCTTTTTCTTTTATTAAATAAAATATTTACGTTATGAATTTTTACATTATGTGGAAGAATATATTTTATTTCTCTTTCGTAACATTCATTTTCGATTTCTTATTATCTCTAGAGACTTATAGGCAATATTTAATTCTGACAGCTAAAGGTGAACACGCTAATACCTGTTCTTGCAGTCTGGCACTGAACTTTTTGTTTAAATCTTTTTGTTTCCTTTGTAATCTAGTGATAGACGGTGTACATGTAAACGATAACGTTTATAATCGAGAGTTAAAAATCCTCGCCTTTCACTGATGTCAAAAAGTTGAACAGGTGTTCTGAGGGACCAGCGAGTCATTTAACACATTAACGTGATAAATGCTAATAGCAAACAGCTATTGACAAAGTTTTATATGTAAGAAAATTCTAAAACATACAAAAACAATAGTTATAAGAGGTAGTACTCATTTTTATATTTGTAAACAATAACGTATGATAAGTAGTTTTCCTAAAGGTGCTTGAATATTTTGTTTTTTAATATTTCCGATGTGTTTACTGTTTTTGCGATGAAACAAGTTGAATTGTGCCAGAGTATCGAGTGTTGTATTTAAGCAGGAATCAAAGTATATATTCGAAAACAGTTCATCCGCAATATAGGAAGTGGATAATGTTAAACTGTTTGTAATAGTTATTACATGTATAAGATTCCGATGATTACAAATAAGATATTGATATATGTATAAGGTCATCATTTTGTACTCTGTTATTAATATACAATATTAATCTTTTAATATATTTTCCCTTTCATTAGTTTTTTTTTTTATGTAGTTTGATACATAAAAATGGTAGTTTGATGCCACAATTTTTTTAATATGTATTTTGGCCTGCTAAACTCGAAAATTGCAATGAAAAATTTGTCTATGGATAGGTTTCTTTTATATGAATTTTTGAATTTTTTTATGAAGGTATTTCAGAAAAAATCGAAAAAAATTCAAAAATTCATTTAAAAAAAAGCCAAGGCCCAAATACATAAGAAAAAAATTGTGGCATTGAATTCAATGTACATTAATGTACATTTTGGTTGTAAACTAATGTAATTAAAAAATGTTGTTCAGAATCGTGTCAGCTACCATCAATTTCCGGGTTTTACAGGAGTTCTGGTACACTTTGTATAGTATATTGCATGATAACTCGAATTTTGCACCAGATAGAACAAAATTGGTTAGACGAAAGTTGTACAGTACGAGAATATCTACACAATTGCAATTATTGCAAACACAATTTTTATGTAGCGGGTAGTGAAATATTATTAAAAATCATTCCTTTTTTAAATTTCTTCCCACAGTATGTTAAAGTGTTACAGTATGTTAAAAACCATTAAATTTTGTATCAAACATTTTTTTATGTCTTTTATGGTTTCAGAGCTATTAACTATTAACTAGCTATTAAATTTGTCTATGATAAGTGCTTACTTATATACCTAGCTTCTTTATAAGAATATTCATTATTATTTTCAATAATATATTTTCTATCTATGTACAATAAGGTCACGTTAGGCGCACAAATTTGTCTACGATAAATGCACGGTATATCCCTTGAGGGGTCGAGGAGTTCGATCGCCGAACAGTGTTTACATGATCGTGTATTCTCTGATATTTGGTGACGAGCTTTTAACGTAGAGAAGGACAGCGAATAAAGAAGAGGACGGAGCGAAAACACCAAAGTATATCAGTGAAACAATCCCAGATAGCACCGGACGTCCCATGTACGTACATAAGACGTTCCTGTTCCTGTGCTATCTGGGTATACAATCATTATTTAATATTCGCAACAGAATATTTTTTTCCGTAGACAAAACACATATTTATCTAATATTCGCAACAGTATATATGTTTGAACATGTAAAACAAAATGTTTATTCAATATTAGGAATACAATATTTGTTGTACATATGAGATGCGATATGTATGTAATATTTGGAACTATTCAGAATTACCTAGTAAATTAATTCTTCTAACTTTTCAAAAAAAAGTTCAAGTCATTTAGACCAATTTCAAAAGAAGGAATTGTATTTTAAAAAGTATCTGAATATTAATGCGAGTCACTATATAAGCCTAAAATATGAGTCGGTTTAGCAAAGTCGTTTGTGGGTAAGTGAGGAAGTAGGTTGTGGTTCTAATTCGAAAATCGTGAGTTCGAATCCCGCCAGAGGTAAATAAAAATTGAAAGATTTTTGTTCTCGTCGTCGTTTTTCATGGAATCCAGTTACAAGAAATAAATACAGTTAACTAAAATCTACCATCAAATAAAAGAAAATATATAAAATTGAAATTTAATTTTTTTTTAAATCTCGATTTTACAGAGAACGTTCTAGGAATGTCCACATCGGACGTCCCAGGGACGTACATAGAATGTCCACGCCGGAGGTCCCAGTATGTTGGAGATGGTTTCTGTGCATTTATGGCAGAGATATTTCTGCATTTATGGAGACTTTACTGTAATTCGAAAAAGAAGGAGAGAGTTAACGTGTCATGAGAAATACAGTGAAGTCTCCATAAATGCACAAACTCGGGACTGAACTTGTGCATTTATGGAGACTTTACTGTGATTCGAAAAGGAAGGTGAGAGTTAATGTGTCATGAGAAATACAGTGAAGTCTACCATAAATGCACCAAATCAGTCCCGAGTTTGTGCATTTATGGAGACTTTACTGTAATTCGAAAAAGAAGGAGAGAGTTAAAGTGATATGAGAAATACTGTAAAATCTCTATAAATGCACAGAAACTATCCCCACCACTGGAGGGTATACCCCTTCAGGGGTCGAGGAGTTCGATCGTCGAGCAGTGTTTACATGATCGGATATCTTCTGATATTTGCTGACGAGCTTTTAACGTAGAGAAGGACAGCGAATAAAGAAGAGGACGGAGCGAAAACACCAAGGTATATCGTTGAGACAATGTAATGCAACGGTGAAACATTTTTATTATTCATTTTTTTGTTGTAAAACTTTGACCATCACATTCCTGACATTTTTCTATTTAAAATGACACCAAACACGATATAATTCGGACGATATTTACCATTTATCTTGTTGTAGTTAGTACTCTACGATAAATGATACGTAATAAATTGTTACAAGTAAATATGTTGCGAATTACGTCGTGTTTGGTCTCGTTTTAATAAAAAAAATGTTAGCGATAAGATGGTAAAAAATTTACATCAAAAACGTTAATAATAAAAAAGGTTTCATCGTTGCATTACATTGTTTCATTGACATACCTCGGTGTTTTCGTTCCATCCTCTTCCTTCACTCCCTGTCCTTGTCTGCGTTCTACGGTCATCGACAAACATCAAAGAATACACGATGTCCACGTTAGTCGTACAAGGTCAGTTCCGAGCTTGTGCATTTAACGAGACATTACTGTATCTTCTTCGCTAGCTCATATTTTTTTTATACAGGGTGTCCTAAAAATGTTGGAAATCCTTGAAAGGGGTGGTTCGGGAGGTGATTTGAAACAGCTTTTTCCTTAGCGAAAATGTTGTCCGAGGCTACGTTAAGGAGATATTAACGGAAAACCTCGGACCAATCAGAGCGCGAGTATGCCGGTGGAGCGCCCGCGGTAGGCGTAGGCTACGCGCTAGGCGACCGCCCTCCGCTGGCATACTCGCGCTCTGTGTGGTCCGGGGTTTTCTGTTAATATCTCCTCAACGAAGCCTCTGACAACATTTTCGCTAAGGAAAAATTTGTTTCAAATTACCTCCCGAATCATCCCTTTCGAGGTATTACAACATTTTTGGGACACCCTGTATAAGTCGGAATTATCTCCGGTGTGTTTCCACCCTTAAAATCGTTTTCAGGCCAAAATGGAAAAGGCCACTATGATTACGTTCTCATGAACTTTATTTCTGCAAAAATTGAACCGCTACCGGCCGGTAAAGTGTTAACATTTCAATTGAAAGTAACAAATACTTGCTAGTTACCATAGCAGTTACCGGACGGTGAGTCAAAAAATCAATTAATCGACTACCCGGTCGGTAAAGTGCGAAAACATGCGTGCAAGGCGTACGAACCATAAGCCACAAGTGGTTCACCGAAACGAATTCGAACAGTAAGTTAGGAAACGTTGATCTTGGCTTTGGGAAATGAGTGGGGAGGGCACGCGTGCTCAACGGGTGGGTTTGACAGGATGGTAAGCGAGGGTGGCTCGCAGACGATCGTGAGAGGGGATGCACCGTCAGTGTATCGCGAGCCACTGACGAGTGAGCGTCGCGTTGCCGTTCGGCGCTCGTAATTGCGTCCGTCGTCTGCGCTGTCGTCTTCTTAACATTATTCATTGATCGTGCACGTCGCGTCGGATGATCACCGTCTTCTCCGTTTATTAAGATTCATAAATTAAGATTCATAAACGAACACAGTTTTCCTTCATCGTTTCATTAACGATGCCCGATAATGCTATCAATGTATCGACTAATGTCCAATACGTGTTTCCAACGAGCCTCGAAGCGTGCTGTTTTCGACGGTCGACATTTGTGTCGGTAAATAGAGATGCGACCGATTCGCCGTAGAAGTGAAGAGTTAATGCGTGATCGGCGAGTTTACATCGCGAAACGTCGATTACGACGTCGTTCATCGGTTTGCAACCGAGTGTAATCGGCGTGACGTCTACGTCAGTAAGTTACTCGCGTCTCGCGTGCAAGTCAGTGCAAGTGAAACGGTAGTGAGTGGTTGCTGAAACGTGGCGAGGGAGACGTGATGAGTGCGAGAGAAGTCACCCTGTTCGGGGGCTCCCCGTGGGGGTTCCGTATGCACGGTGGACATGACCTGCATCAACCGCTACGCATTTCGAGGGTGAGTCTATTCATAAGACATTTCCTATTAATTTCCGATTAATTCCTCCCAGGATCGGTGGTCCCTGGTGTGTTGTTGCTCGAAGCAAGGAAGATTGATTCTTTAGATGTACTATTTTCTTTAGCGAGATTAGAAAATTATTGGTGTCATTATTTCTTTTTTTTTTTTTTGCTGAAAGTAATAAGGCGATAGAAGAGAATTTTAAATAGTGGTTTTGGGTGGGTGAGGTTAAGGGTAGTTATGTCTTTTAAAATTATTTTGGTACGAAAGGATCATCTAAAGGAGTAAATGATAAAGTATAGTACGCGGTTTTTGTGATTAAATACTTTTGTGATCGAATACTGTTAATTTAGATACTGTCTGCACAGAAATACTGTCTGAGTAGGTTTGGAGCAATTTTTGGTGGCAGTGGCAATATTGACTACTGTTAATGTACATACTGTCTACACGGAATTCCCATTACCACGTGAGTGTAATTTGCGACACTTTGGAAAATTCTGGCGTAGGCCATTCGAAGGCGCCGGAGTTATAAATACTATATAGACCGGCGATGTTATCTACGTTGGCAGTAGATTCTGAACTTGGCATGAATAAACGAGGAACACCGAGTTTAAGGCCAAATAATTTTAAGGGATGCTCGTTAGCATAGTTTGAATTATCGAAAGCGATCTGGCACTTGGCTACATTTAATGGCGTCTGATCTTTGTTTCACACATACAGACAGTCCACCATTAGCATTCCTAACCTCTATATCTATCAAAGAAATTGTCCAAATTGAATCATAGGTTTCATATACATAAATAAAGTTTTCAGTACACATATACATACATGAATATACTTGATATATTTGATACACTTGATATATTTTTTAATTAAATGATACATACATTTGATATTTACAAATAAATTTATTGTATATAAATGGATAGATAAATGAAGGAAGGTTATGTTTCAATGTGTTCGCCGTTTTTCGGGCGCCTTCGGGAGGTATCGTGACGCGTTTTTCGTTTGTCCGAATCAAGCGGCGTGCGAAAGCTTGGGATTTTTTTATAAATAGTCAGAACAGTAGTACTGTGATTCCCGGTTCAGTCCGATATCTTGCAGGGTCGGTTTTAGCAATATTGGCGCCCCTGGCAAGATTATCGTGGCGCCCTGTTAGAGGTATATACAGGGTGTCCCAAAAATCTTGGAGGTCCTTGAAAGAGGTGGTTCGGAAAGTGATTTGAAACAACTTTTTCCTTAGCGAAAATGTTGTCCGAGGCTTCGTTGAGGAGATATTAACAGAAAACCCCGACCAATCAGAGCGCGAGTATGCCAGCGGAGGGCGGTCGCCTAGCGCGCTCTGATTGGTCGGGGTTTTCTGTTAATATCTCCTCAACGAAGCATCGGACAACATTTTCGCTAAGGAAAAAGTTGTTTCAAATCACCTCCTGAACCACCCTATTCAAGGACTTCCAACATTTTTGAGACACCCTGTATATACAGAGCGGAGGTGATTTGGAACAACTTTTTCCTTAGCGAAAATGTTGTTCGAGGCTTCGTTGAGGAGATATTAACAGAAAACATCGACCAATCAGAGCGCTCCAACGGTATTCGCGTGCTCTAATTGGTCAGTGTTATC